AAAAATTCAATTTCCCACATAAGTTTAAACTCTTTAATTACAGTGTTTCAAATAATATAATGCAATATAAAAACTTCATTTCAGCAATAAATATCCCTATTAGGCTAATCTTAAACCCCATTCTTGTATAAAGTTAAAATTATAAACATAAAGTCTCTTTCTAGACATAACATCTTTATAATTAAATCTTTGAAGATCTTCCAACTTTGATGACTGTGAAAATACGTCCAAGTTGATCTTACCCTCGCCACGTAAAAAGGCTCCACTTACTTTTTTTATTTTATTTTTTCTTTCTTAGACCCCAATAAGTATCAGTACATTAAGAGGTGATTGGATATGAATTCAACTAGTAAAACACTAATTTTTTTAACTATAGTTAAATTTAGAAAAAAGTAGTATGATTAGTTGTTAGTGGATATATTAAAATAATATTTAAATTAAAATAATTAAAGATGATTTGATGTAAAAGTAGGAGAAAAAGATTGGAAGTGATAGTTAGTTAAAATTATATGAGTGAGTGAATAGTGAATTAAAGTTGATGTGATGTGTAATAATGATTGGTTGATATTATTTAATTATATTGATAATATTGGAGATAGTGGAGTTGAATAAAAATTGTGTTAAATTTGAGTTTTGAGTAGGATATTTACTTCACAAATTATATACAATCACGCCCTTAGAGTTTACATGCACCCAATTACAATTGGGCCCCTAATTACAATATGAGTACATCGGGGTCGCATTTTAATTGCGTTTTCCGTCTCAGTTGGAAAATGTCTAAACAATCGGTTTTATTGATTTTATACTCAGTTTTTTAAGTTTTTGAATTTTGAGAAATCAACAGTGTGTCCAATTGTTCCGGTTTCGGCATATTATGAATCGCAACCGAACTTTCAAACCAAGTTCCCAATTATTATTTATGACCAGAACCATGTTTAACGATTAACCGAACCGTTGGTTGACATTTTGAACCACCAACAGTTCAGTTAAAAACTTTCAACATCTCTACAAATGAGCTAATTATAACAAATAAGTGGTAAAAAAAAATTAAGAGATTAAATATTCTATATGTTTATGGTGGCTACTAATTAACGTACCGTTAATATGTAGTATATTTGTTGTTTGTGAATATCAAAAAGACGGCTTAAGGAGAATGAAGAAAACGAAACAAAAATCAAAGTCGAGGCACGTAATAGTTACGTTCTCCTTAAGACGAAATTGCCCCGTAAAATACCTACGGTTAACAGCAAACGCCTCCAAGATACAACGACTTTCGACTTGTATATAGTGGTACTTCAAATATACAAGCCTTCGGCGAACACTACTATTGTTTGGAATTCTCAAGACTCAATGAAAAAATCAAAGAACACAATATGCTATATGATCTTTGAAAAGTAATGCAAGAGCTCTCTAATTTTCATAATCTTAATGATTTCAAGTATGTGAGTATTTATAGATGTAGGGAAACACCTCCAAGAGGTTTAAGTGTCAAAAGACACCTTTTGGGACGTGCCCGAACGAGAACGGATGCATCTAGTGGCCAAAAGATACCTTATGGTCACCAAGGTTGCGACCCTTTGATTTCCGCAGCCAGTTGCGCACCCGTGCGCCGCGGGCTTGTATGAGCTCATACGGACTCGGAATCGAGTTCCGTTTTTTTTTACTTGTCCCCAACGAGCCCTTCTACAGTTCTAGCATACATAATGCATAATTATGGCTCGTTTACTTCGTCCAGACATTTGTCAAAACTAAATGTTTGTGAACCCTACAACCTTTGAGTTATTTGAACTCAATTAATTAACATATAACACTTAAAATTAATTTCTCATTCACTTAAAAAGGTTTTGAGAATTTCCTAAGTCTTCTACTTACGAAAAGTAAAATCGTTAAATCAATACAAAACCAATTTTTTCTTACATAATATAACACCCATCGCTAGCGAAGACTAAATTGACTCGCAAGTCACAAGGAAAGTCAAAATGACAGTAATTTATACATAGTAAATGAGCTTATTATAACAAACAAGTGGTAAAAAAATTAAGAGATTTAATATTCTATATGTTTATGGTGGCTACTAACTAAAGTTCCGTTAATATAACACCAATCCATGTGCTAGCGAAGACTAAATTGACTCACAAGGACAGTCAAATTTGACAGTAAAAAACACAAAGTAAATGAGCTAATTATAACATACAAGTGGTAAAAAAATTTAAGAGATTAAATATTCTATATGTTTATGGTGGCTACTAATTAAAGTTCCGTTAATATAACACCCATCCATGTGCTAGTGAAGACTAATTTGACCCACAAGTTCAGTCAAAATGACAATAAAAAATACAA